TCAGCGCCGGGGATGAGCTCCTTCAAGCGGGAGAGCATCTGGCAGCCGTTGCAGACACCAAGGGCGAAGGTATCCTTGCGCTGGAAGAACTCGGCGAGCTCCCTGCGGGACTTTTCATGGAGGAGAATGGACTTGGCCCAGCCTTGACCGGCGCCAAGGACGTCACCGAAGGAGAAGCCACCGCAGGCGGCGAGACCAACGAAATCGGCGAGGGAGCGGCCGTTGATGATGTCGGTCATGTGGATGTCGACTGCGTCGAAGCCAGCAGCGCGGAAGGCAAAGGCCATTTCGGCGTAGCCGTTGACACCCTGCTCGCGGAGGATGGCGACGCGAGGGCTCTTGCCGAAGAAACCGGTAATCGAGGCGGTCAGGGGAACGATGTTCTCGGCGGGGGAGAAGGTCAGGTTGTAAGAAAGACCGGGGTCGGCAGAGTCGGCGATGGCAGCATACTCCGAATCGGCACACGAGGGGTTGTCTCTGAGTTTCTGCATCTCGTAGGAGACCTTGGACCACCATTGCTGCATTTCAGCTCTGTCGAGGCTGGCGAAGGGCGCACCCTCTCCGTGACGAATGTTAAGGGTCTGCTTAGACGATTCCTGGACAACACCAATCTTCTTGATAAGCCCAGCAGGAGGGCCGCAAGTGGCAAAGCATCTCTTAAAGTTGGTCTCGTCTGAAGCACGAACCTGGAAGACAGCACCCAACTCCTCGTGGAACAGGGCATCAACCATATCAGCAAGGCTGCCCGACTTGGCAACGCCATCCATCATGACATCAACACCGCAGCGGCCAGCGAACATCATCTCAGCAATGGTAGTAACAAGACCACCGTCAGAGACATCGTGATAGGCGAGGACAATGCCGCTCTCGTGAAGCTGAGCAAGGGCGTCGAAGTAATCCTTGAGGAGATCCACATCGCGGACATCAGGAGCCTCGTGGCCGATAGCACTCAACGACTGGGCAAGCGCAGAGCCACCAAGAGCCTTACGGCCCTGAGCCAGGTCGACGTAAAGCAGCACAGTCTCGCCAACATCCTCGACCCGGCGAAGCTGAGGGGTCCAAGTCCGGCGAACATCCTCGACGAGGGTAAAGGCGGAAATGACCACGGACACAGGAGCAGTCACGCTCTTCTTGGTCTCTCCATCCTTCCAGCTGGCCTTCATGGAGGTCGAGTCCTTGCCAACAGGAATGCTGATGCCGAGCTTGGGGCAGAGCTCCATGCCAATGGCCTCAACAGCCTCGTAGAGGGCGGCACCCTCGCCAGGGTGGTTGACAGCGGCCATCCAGTTGGCGGAGAGCTTGACACGCTTGAGGTCTCCTCTGTACGAGCCACCCTTGATATCAGCAGCACCGAGGTTGAGCAGACTTTCGGCAACAGCCATTCTGGCGGAAGCAGCAGGAGAAATCAAAGCCAGTGTTGGCTTCTCACCCATGGCCATCGCCTCACCAGTCTTCATGCCGTTCAGGCTGAAAGAAGTCGAAGTGACAGCAACATCAGCCACTGGTGTCTGCCATGGGCCAACCATCTGATCGCGGACAGTAAGACCACCGACTGTGCGATCGGCAATAGTGATGAGGAACGACTTGGATCCAACCGAAGGGAGCCAGAATACTCTCTGGACGGCTTGCTTGAAAAGATCCGCGTCGCTGGTAGATTCGCCGAGAGCAGCCTTGAGGCTGGCAACTGGCTCGAAAACGGGCCAGCTGGGCTTCTTGGAGCTAACAATGCGCTCGAGCTTCCGACCCTTGGGGAAAAGAACGTCCATAGGAACGTCGATAGGGCGAGGATACTCCTTCGACTCTTTGTCGCTGAGAACCAGCCTGGACACACCGTCCTCTTCCTTAGACAACACAGTTCCAACATCAGAAAATCCGCAGCGTTCACGGTCTGTTTATCGATTAGTCAAGATTTCAGTCGAGCTTTGCAAAACAATCAAACTTACTGCAGATGGCCGTGAAGCGCTCCATGCCTTCGCTGTTCACAAGGACGACATAACGTTCCTGAGCCTCGTTGCACCAAATCTGGAGAGGGCTCATTCCACGGTCAACGCACTCGACCTGGCGAAGTTCGAATCTGCCACCAAAACCAGCATCCTTGACAAGCTCTGGCAGGGCGTTTGAAAGACCACCAGCACCTACATCGTGAATCATCGCGATAGGGTTGTGGTCACCCAGAGCCACGCAGGTGTTGATGACCATCTGCGCACGGCGTTCCATTTCAGGATTGCCACGCTGGACGCTGTCAAAGTCAAGTTCGGCGTTGCCCTCTCCGGAAGCGTTACTCGACGCGGCACCACCACCCAAACCAATCAACATGGCAGGACCACCAAGAACGATGACATGAGCACCTTCCTGGACATCCTTGGGGTCCTTGAGAGCGTGCTTCTCTCTAACGGTACCGACACCTCCAGCAATCATGATGGGCTTGTGGTAACCGCGGAACTCGCCCTCGGCCTTGGTGTCATCGGCGGTGAGGAGAGTTCTGAAAGTACCCGTCAAGCAAGGGCGGCCGAATTCGTTGTTGAACCGGGCGCTGCCGATAGGGGCCTCCAACATGATGTCGAGACTGCTGGCATAGTGGGCCGGGCGGCCGACATCGATTTCCCAGGGCGCCTTGTGCTCGGGGATGTGCAAATCAGAAACCCAGAAACCGCAGAGACCAGCCTTGGGCATAGAGCCTCTGCCAACAGCACCTTCGTCACGAATTTCACCACCAGATCCTGTAGCAGCTCCAGGGAAAGGAGCAATAGCGGTTGGGTGGTTGTGTGTCTCGACCTTGGCGAGAACGTGAATAAGCTCCTTGTTCAACTTCCAGGAACCAGTAGAATAATCAGGAGCCCACAGGTTAGCTGTCTCGCCCTGCATAACGGCCGCATTGTCGCTGTAAGCCGAAACAGTGAAATCAGGGGTGGCCTTATGGGTGTTCCTGATCATCCCAAACAGGCTGTGCTCCTTGGTGATTCCATCGATGGTCCAGTTGGCATTGAACTGCTTGTGACGGCAGTGCTCCGAGTTGACCTGAGCAAACATGAAGAGCTCGATATCATGCGGTGGGCGACCCAACTGTGTGAACTGCTCCACCAAGTACTCCACCTCAGACTGATCAAGGGCCAGGCCGCGAGCCTTGTTGTACTCGTTGAGCACCTGGATCGGGTCCCGGCCTTCGGCAAAGATGTCAACAACCTCCAATGGAGCGGGCTCGCTCTCGGCAAACATGCCATTGAGATCCGGCTCTTCAGTGGTGAGGTGCTCGGTCATGCGATCATGCAGAATATCCCGAAATGGAACAGCCTTGTCGTTATAGGGCTGATCGAACTCGATGCTGATGATCCGTCCGCGCTCAATCCGTTGAATTTGCTGTTCGAAACCGCACACGTGTGCGATCATGGTGGCTTTGGAGCTCCATGGCGAGAGATATCGTGGTGTCACGAACCACTTGCGACTGAAGCCGATGTGAGAAAGAGGAGGGGTAGATGAGCCTGAGAGAGGAAGGAATTGAGAGAGGATTTGCTGAGCGTCATTGGCGTCGCCGTTGATGTGAGCGTAGTAGGTCCAGGAGCCGGTGAGTTTGGACACCTTGATGGGCGCTATCCTGTTGATCTGATCTTTGAGCTTCTGGGCCTCGGAGGCCGTGAAGCAGGAGTCACCAGCGAGGGTGAGGTGCGCCATCGTTGCGGTGGTTGCGATGACGCAAAAATAGCAATGGGAAGGGGAGAAGGAGAGCTCAAATAGGGGCTGGACGACTGGCAGAGAGCCAAAGCTCACTGGGATGAATACAGAGTCATCGAGCAAGCTGTGAGTCTGGAGGCGGGGTGACAGTGGCACATTCGAGTTTTTATGGTGGGGTGGACTGCAAAACCCACTTTACTTTTGCGCTTCCCCACACGATTGGCTGGTTCTCTTATCCAACCCATGCAGCTCCCTTATCGCATGGAGGGGCAAGATGAGATCGAAACGACGCTTCACGGACAGGACGAGCATTCACGGCTTAATTCTCTCATGTTCCCAGGAAAATGTTGATTCCTTCCATAATTCTTCTTTTACAAAGAAAGAAGCTACCTGTCAGTATGATTCTCGAGTAGCTGCCGTTGTGTGACATTCAACCGGAGCTCAGGGACGCATGTGTCAGCGTCGACTTCGTCAGGGATTCGTCCCAGATTATGACTGTCAACTGTTTATTATGCAGTCTCAGCTCGCGAGACCGCTCAAGCTGCGTGGGGTTTTCTTGTCCATTACTTTATCAAATCCGCCCATTTCGGTAAAAAGCCCGAGGTTTTGCGGCATCGGACCACAACCTCTAGGACTATGTTTGGGCTTCGCGATGGCTTCAGATTCAGAGTGAATATGATTACCGATTGCTGGAGTCAGATCGGGACGGGCACAGGCGCCCGCTGGGCTTCGATTTTCAAACTATAATTTCCAATTGCAAAAGCACACATTCCGAGGCATAAGTTCCAGGCCCGTGCATCTATCTCATTCTCATGTGGCGTTATACCATATCATCTTGATTTTCAGAAAGCCGTTTCTCGGCTCTTCGGCAACCAAAAATGATTGAGGTCAAGAAGAGTGAGATCACTGACCAAGTGCAGGGAGGGCACTCAACTGATATAGGTGCCTGATCATGTTGGCACTGCTGACAAGCATTGGAAGGATGAGCAAACTGGGCTCAAAGCGTCAGGAATAGAGTTTCATACATCTAGAATTTGGCGGTCAGATGATCATCCACAAAGTTTACTATTGAGGGTGTACCGTTGTACCGTTGTCCAATGCGATGTAAAAATGCCGCTGGGCGACAATGTGAAGCAAGTCTTATTTGGCCTCCACAGCCCAGTTCTTGCAGTCAATCCCACAAAAGCATAGCGAGCATGAGGGGTGCGTATGTACATGAAGTCGATCCTATCTCACCGTAAGTCACGGAGCCAACATGTGCAGTCGACCATAGACACCATCGAGATTCAACCAGACCAAAACATACAAAAAGACAACAAAAGGATAAGGATTGGACGTACCGGGGCTTGAACCCGGGACCTTCTCAAGGAGCATGCATCATTCGAACCCTTTCACCTGTTTCTATTCTAACAGCTTCAAGGCAACGAACATTTTTTTGCAACTGAGACGTCGTACCACTAGACCATACGCCCTGTTTTATTCTTATGATGTGGAACCGACTTGGACATTATATGCTTGGGTTCGCATCGCCTGGAGGAAGGGGGCAACGGGGGGGCAACCAGTGAACCGACAGCCTACAACCAGATGTTACCGACCTATCTAACCTATTCAACCGTGCACGGCCATCTTCGTGATCTGCCAAGTGAGGAGTTTTGTCAGGATCATGATGATTTCAGCGAACCCCAAGAGTTTGTGATTCGCAGGTCGCCAAGCTCATACGGCAGAATCATGGGTCCATCTCGAGGGAATCGTCTGCTACGCACCCTGTCCCACACTCAAGATTTACCTTGCCCCATGAAAGCCACCAGCTAGAAGCTCAGTTCTGCATAAAAGTTTATTTGCTGCTTGATTTCTAGTAGTAGGTAGCATAGCAATCTCACTTGTAACCTACACCTACTGGGCAAGCTGGACACGGTCAGGCTTGATGATCATGATCTACCGTAAGGAAGTAAAGTAGTATATTGCAGAAACAACATACCTGAAAGGATGCTGGGTATCATGCTCCAGTTTTATCAGTAGCAGAGCCTAAGGTTTCAGGCTTCCATTCCACTGAACAGGACCCATTTCAAACTATGTTCGTGAACAAAACCTAATCAGACCGAGAGGAGGTTACCCGGACTGATTTTGACTTCGTTGCAGATTTTGTAAAAAACTCAAACCTTTCTGAGAAAAACTTAATACTCAAGCTTCCTGATTGCAGAGACGACATAAATTGCTTAAAGTATGTCGTACGCTCCCACACTCTCTTTCCCAGTTTTCTCAGTCAACATTATCTTTTCAAAAACCTTCAAATCTTCAGCTCTTTGAATTATTTGAATCACTCCTAACCTACAAAAAGCCAACGACAACATCTACAACAACAACAAAAGCAAACAGCAACAGCAATAACACACAGTCAAGATGTGGTCGTCAGCAGCCGCGAGCCACTACGCCCACCCAGGCGTTTCTGAACGCTGGGCTGCCCTCCTCGAAGCCCACCAGTTTGGCGTGTGGGCGCGGGACGTTGCTGGGCAGAACGAGCTGGAACGGCACGGTGAGCGGTGGCTTTTCAGTCAATGGAAGCTTGAACACCGATACGACAAGATCCCACAATTCTCCGTTCCAGCCCAAAACAGTCGGAGAGTGGTAATTCCTGCCGCTCTGGTGGAAAACGTCCGGTTCATGGGACACCTGTTTGGTGACCATGTTTTCCGCCTGGCGAAGAACCCCAGAACCAGGCAAAGCTTCAAGATGTGCCTACAATATGAAGGGCAGGTCCGGCGTCCCTACAGGCACTACTTTCATCGGTTCAGGGACACCGTCCTGCCAGCCATTCTTGAGATGGTCATCTCTCTGCTGGCCTTTGAGCCCGCCTCGACTGTCACTGCTCAGCAGCAAGCACTTCCGTCAGAGCTTCAGCGGATCAGATCAAAGTTGAGACTGAATGAAATCAAACCAATCGACATCGAAATTCTGATTGAGGCCTGGAACCTCAGATTTGTCGGCTTTCGGGACGAGACAACGAAGATCACCCCAAGGATCCGTCCAGCGAAGCTCCTCCCCGCCGCTGGGACCTTGACAGCAATGATCACCTACGCTGAAGCCGCCTGGTTGATCTACAAGCTTCGACAAAACGATCGTTGGGGCTATGGTACCTATCGACTCGAGTGGAACTCGATCATCCCCTTGCTCGAAGCGGCATCAGACCTTCGCTTCGTCGACCTCCTCAAACACCACACAGACAGGATGAAGTGTGAGGGACTCGCGATGCTTTTCGACAAAGACCCATTGGTCAACGCCCACGTGCTGGTGTATTGCAGACCGGAGAATGTCACCTTCGACTGCAGTACTGTTAGTGGAAGTGACAGTGAGGTTGTAAGCGATAACGATAGGAAGGCTCAGGAATGGGAGTGGGTCCCTACCAAGCCAGATTTCTGGGCGGCCGGCAATGATTTCAGCCAATCAACGATCGAGACGCAGCTCTTGTACAGGGACCCACAAGAGCACTCAACTTTTCATCGATTTTACCACAACCACCCTGCGACTTGGAGCCCCCGCCGTGGTCAATTGAGCCCCCTCGTCAACGATAACTGCCAGGCCGTCGGGTCCCCGAAAGGAAAACAGTTTTCCACCGGCGAAGCTCCAAACAAAAAGAGGTCGATCGACAGCACCGAGACCGCCGAGGATTTCCCCCCTCGAAAGAAGCCAAGAGTCGCATCTGAACCCCCTCGCGATCTCCCTACTGGAAGGACGGTGGAGGAAGAACCTGCCGATTTCAAGCGCGACCGATTAACTCCAGCGAAACCAAACCCCAAGAAATCCCTCCCTCAACCTCCCCCCGAGAGAGCACCATCACCACCCCCACCAATCCGCAAAGGCGTAGCCATCCCCAAGAACGGCCCCCCCAAGAAATCCGTCCTCGAGCAACGGTCCCGTCACCACAATCGCAACCCCTCCGCAGCTAGATTCTTCTTCAACTGATAATCACCCCTCTACATAACCATCACCATGCCGTCCACCACCACCCTCTTCCCCTCCCTCAGGGCCCTCACAACCCGCCTCTTCTCCCGCCCATCACCACTCCTCCCCCAATCCCGCACCCTCACCACCACCCCCCCCAACCTCGCCCTCTCCAAAGCCTCCATCGCCAAACTCGGCCCGAAACCCGGCCCCGGCCAAAAACCAAAAGGCGGCTCCGGCCCCGGCGGAAAAGGCGGCCAACCCACCACCCGCCGCGCCAAACGCAAAGGCGAAGTCGTCCGCGACCCCCGCATGATCAACCTCCTCCGCCACCTCGCCATCCTCTCCCCGCAGCGCATCCCCGCCCCACTCCGCATGGCCCGCAACCGCTACCTCCGCCACTGGACCATCCACCGCGCCTGGCTCCTCTTCCGCCGGCAGCAGCGCGAAGCTCGCGAAAAAACCTGGATGAGACAATACCAGTCCATGAACCGCGCCTGCGAGGAGCTCCGGTTGACATCTGGCCCCGGAACGAGAGAAAAAGGGTATTTGTTTAGGATGGCGATGGAGAAGAAGGGGGTTTATGGGTTGAAGGGGGTGCCGATTGAGTATGCTAGGGCGCAGACGGAGACGCCGGCGAGGGTGCCGTGGGATCATGAGTGGAAGAGGGATTAAGAGAGAGAATCTCTGGGAAATGTTGGGAGTGGGTTGGGTTGTTTAACTAGGGGGGAAAATGGGATGAGGAAAATGAAACAGGGGTGGGTGTATATACCTACCCTGCTGTTCCTGTTGTTGAAATAGGTGGAAAGAAAGGGGTGGAAGAGAAAGAGAGTTGTATAAATCATTCTGTACCACCATCATTACAAAAAGGGACGCATTTCGAAAGGCGCGTTCAGAAGAATAAAACAAGTTAAACCAGATTCATAAATCTCACTTCATGGTCTTTTGCGTGCCCAAGTCAACAATCTGTTTTGTGTTCCTGTTGGTAAAAAATACGAAATAAATACTTCACATCCGTCACAGACGACACACACCACGGTTTTGGTTCTTGCCCATCATTACTCAGTTCCCCCCGTACGTACAGTAGTCAAAGAACATCACCATTGGCAAATAGACGAAGAGAAGGTACCTACGAGGAGAGCAAAAGCGATTGCTGTACACCCCCCCACAGAAGATATGAGACAGAGAACCTGGCAATCGACACAGTACGTAAAAACGAGGGAAGGACTGAGGAAAGAGTGTAGATAGGTAGGTAGCTTTAAGTAAGCTACTGCCCATCGGCCCTGTCAATCACGGTAGCAGCAACCTGCAAATAAGAGAGGCAGGCCCAAAAACAGTTAAATAAATAAATTAAAATTTCCCAGTTTCGCTTTCCATGCAAAAACAACAACAAGAAAAAAAAAAAGACAGACAGAGACCCAGCCATCCATCCCCGGCCCCCCCTTTCCCTTGATGATACGATACCTTGATAGAAAAAAAATACAGACACAGAAACGAAACATCCCCGCCCCCTCCCGATTGATGATTTGAGAACCCAACTAGATTGAGAGAGTGAGACTAATAGTAGGACTGAAAGTGACACCGAGAGAGAGAGAGTTGAGTTAAAAGAAATAATGAAAACCCGAGACAAAATACTTCTATGACCGTTATTAATACAGAAACTCGCTGGCTTTTTTGTTTGTCGTTCAACGCAAGACATAAGTGGTGTGTGTGGTTTGTTCCCGGCTGCCGTGGGAGTTTGTGCGATGTGAGAGAGTGGCTGCTAGCGGAGCCCGTTCTCGATCATCGTTTGAGGGTGTCGTTCCGTTTCGACTGGTGGTGGTTTCGATATGATGGCGTAGTGTGGTGTGTACTGATATGATGCTGGTGATTGATATGAAGGCAAGGGAATCAGGGATTATGACCGGCCTTGTGACCCCATCTCCAACCCATTCATCCCAACGCGACCTGTGTCTTGGCGCGAAGCGGCCTGGCCTCTGACAAGACAAAGCTATCGACGGATGCTTTGGTTGCTCATAAAATCACACAACACCCGCCGCCCTCGCCCTTCTCAAACATGAGCAGCGATGCTCTCGTGGCCGCCTCGAACACATCGTCGACACCCTCGCCTGTCAAACTCGAGCACTCAAGGTACTTGCGAGCACCGATCTCCTTCGCAGCGTGCTCGCCTTCGGAGGTCGTAAGGAATTTTAGCGACTTTTTCCTCATCTCTTCAATGGCGACTGGGTCCTCGCGGAGATCCTTCTTCAGTCCTACCAGGATGATCGGCACCTCGGGACATCTTTCTTGTGCTTCTACCACCCACTGTGTCACACATATCTCGGTCAGCAAATGCTTCTTCTTTTCTCTTTTGCACTTCTCCCTTTCCAACCAAGGCACAACACCACGCATCCCGACTTCTGCCACGCCAATTGACGAATATGGAGAGGGGAAGAGATTGCGGCGTGGTACAAGCGTGACACCATGACGGTGACGTTAGATGCAGCCCGGAGTCTTGCAGCATGGGGGTTGGCCAAAAGAGGGAGGGGGGCCA